AGAACGCCCAGCCCAAACAGATCTGTACCTTCTGCCTCAGCAACCAGAGAAAGTTGGTGAGTGTCGCCCACGGGGCATCCACGGAAAGAGGCGAGGAGGATGTGGCGGCCTCTGCCTCCATACCACCCCAGCCACCCACACCTGCTGGGCAGAGAACGGGGCCAGAGGCCGGCAGAGCAACCCCCCCCTCCCACCAGCAGCACCTGTGATCCAGTGCGCCCAGGGGTCCAGGAGGGGAGGAGCATAAGAAGGCCCCGCTGGAGCAGGCAGGGCTGGGCCTTCCCTGGGCCTTCTCCCCTCGAGTCCCCAGGGACACAGGTGCCCATGGGGACCAAACAGAGCCAGCCAGGGCTACGTGGGAGTCTGGGAAGCAGGGAGGACACCAAACTGGAAGAGGCTGGGGGACCAGACCAGGATTGGTTCAAGAAACTCTGGCCCCCCAACCCTGTCCCCAAAGGAAGGGGACTCGCCCGCCACCCCCCCCCATCTGTTTGCCCTGTCAAAGCCCCTGCCACCGGCCCCAGGCCTAGTGGGCACCTGCTAGCCCTCCCGTGGCCCTGGCCCAAGCCCCCAGGGCTGCCCACTCAGACCCCCGGGCGGCTGTGGGCTCTGCAGACAGGAGGCTGGCGGGAGATGTGGGGGCTGGGGGAGAGGGCCACGTTGCGGGAGCGCTGGCCGGCTGTGATTTACAGCCCCTGCCGTGCTTGGTGGCACCGGAAAAGCAGGGTGAGCAGGGAGAAAATGCGGCGCGGCTTTTCCCGATCCCCATTTCCTCTCCAGACAGCACGCGTGAGCTCCTGGGGCCTGAACATCTGGGAAATTTAATTTTACAATTTCGGCTGCGCAGCAGTGTACTCTCCTCCCCAAACTGCATGGGGAAGCCGGGGTGAGCGTGGAAGGGGGTGCTTTCAGCACCCGCCACCTGAGACAGCACCCAGTGGGGAAGCCCAGAGGCGCGGGCTGGCGCTGGGTCTGTGGCCAGGCCCTGACACTGCCCCCTCCCCTCTGCAGAGCAAGGACCGAGACAGAAAGACTACGATTCGGAGCTAGAGGTGGACGCCGCTGGGCTATCCACAGAGAGCCCCCGTGGACCTGACTCGGGCACAGGCCTCCTGTGAGGGCGCCCAGCAAGCCAGCCCTGCCTCCGGCTACAGTGGGGCCGACGGACAGACAAGTGTGCAGGAGTCTGCACTGGCCCAGCGGGCCCAGGCCCACCGGAACCTTCTGTGCTGGCTTCCTACCTGGGTTTTCTTCTGGTCACTACGTGCTGGCATCTTGTGTCTCTGATATGATAATATAAAGTCTGGAAACTTTGTATAATTAAAAACAAAACAGTATCGTCCAACCGTGGAAGCACACAGTTCTCTTGAACGGTTCAGAATCCAGCCTGAGCCCAGCCCCTGTGGTGCTCTCGGAGAGCTCACTGCTCCCACCTTCGGTGCTCCCTGGGCCAGAGGCACCACTTCTCAGGGAAGGCCTCCACCCTCCAGGGGCTGGGCCACCCCTCCCAGGCCTGAGGCAGAGTGCGGCACCTCCTCCTGGCCTGAGGGGCTGAAGGAGACCGGTGAGGGACAGGAAAGGACAGAGGGAGCCCACTGCCACGCAGCAGGGGACCGGCCAGTCCGGTCTCCTCTCCAAGGGCCTGCCCGGCACCCAGGCGTCCCTGAAGGGGTGAGGAGGGCAGAGCTCACAGCACCATCATGCCAAGCCTCGGGGCGTCAGCCTTTGCCCAGAGACCCAAGAAGCAGACGCTTGGGGGAGGTGGAGTGAGGGGCACTGCCCGGCACAGCAGGTTTCCAAGCCTGGGTGGGCCTAAGGGTCCAGGCCAGATGGCAGCCACCTGCATTCACCCCTGGGCCCCCAAAAGGGCTATGGGTCCCACCCCTGCTGGGGTGCCCTGGCCCCCCCACCCCTACGAGCTGTAAGAGGAGAGGAGCTCCATGACCCCTGCCCCCCGGCCCTGCGCTCAGCCGCCTGCAGCAGTGCTCACACGGGAAGGAGGGAACCCTGGCTGCCTACCGCTCTGCCCCACCCAGCTCCTCCAAAGGCCCCACCTGCTCGTGAGGAGGGCAATTTCAGGACCCCGCCCCAAGCTCTGCACAGCTGGCTGACCATTAAAATCCTGCAGGTGACAATTACGGTTTAGCGGCTTGAGCTCGGCTGGCACAGCACAGAAGAAAGGCAGGGGGTGGCCCTCTGTGAGCCACCTCCCCACCCCCCCCACACACCCCCTGCTGGTCAGGCAGGCCAGCAGCCTGACTTCCGGCCAGACAGGGTAGGGAATGGCGGAGGGCGCCAGGTGCTGGCCCTGGCCCCCACCCCCAGCCCTCAGCACAGGCTCCAGGGCCCCCACTGACACCCTCCTGGGCCCCCAGGGAGAGGCCAGGTGCCGAGGCCCACGTGGGCACCCCAACAGGGCAGGGCCAGAGCTGCCCCCCTCCTCTGCACAGAGGGGCTCCGGGGAACTGCGAAGCAGGAAGCGGTGGTGTAATTTTGGAGGAAACTCTCAAAGCCAGAGCCATTAAGGGCCAGAGGGGGGGCTGTGTCCACCGTGATAGAAATATAACAGGATAAAAAGACGCCACGGCAGGTTCCATTCAGAAAGAAACCCAACCCCAAATTTCCTTTCCCTAATCCTGCAGGAGCCTACAGCTGGCCAGAAGAAGGAGGGAGAGGGCAAGCCCCCGCCCCGCCCGCCTGCCCGGAGACGTGGGGGTCCAGATGGGGGCTGAGGAAGGCCCTGGGGGAGGTGTCCGGGGGAGGCAGGTGCACCCCAGGGCCTCTGTGCCTGCCTCCCCTGCCTCACTGGTTACGGGGCGACGTTCTATGGGGAGGGTCCGTGGCCCACCTGCCCCTCACCTACTGTAACCACATTGCCACAGCTGAGCCTGGGTGGGGGATGCAAACCTCCCTTACGAAGCCCCCCGCCCAGATGACGAGCACCCGAGTGGGCACCGACCTTGTGGTCACGGAGCAATGCGGCAGGAGACAGAACGGGGAGCACGTCCGGCATGAGGCCAGAGGGGAGTGCAGAGGAAGGGACAGCCCCTGGAGCCCCAGGACTGAGGGGGTGTCAGGAGACCCCTGCAGGGCATGCTGCCAATCTGGGAGGCTGGTAGGAGAGGACCCCGGGGACCCAGCCCATCGGGGCACGGTGTGCACGGGCCAAGCTCCCTGCTGCCGGGCCTGTGACTCCCAACAGTGGCTGCAGCTTGGCCGACTCAGGCCTGGGCAGAGGGCCCGGTGCTCCCTGAGCTGCTCGGTAGCGGCACGGCGGCGGTGAGGGCCTGGCCCGCCAGCCAACAGGAGGGAGCGGAGGGGGCGGGGGAGGAGCACTCCGTCACCCTCCACTGCTCCAGAAATTCAAACCAGACTGGGGGTGGCGGGCTGGCCCGAGCCCGGCGGCCCCACTTGAGTCCACTCGGCTCCTCACAGCCGCTGGGCCGGGGGCGGCAGGTGCTCCCTGCCCACTTCAGACACCGCTTCCTTCCCAGAATGCTGGCCTTGCCTTCCACCAGGAGGGACAAAGACCCAGGGCTCCCCCGTGTGTACACCCCAGAGGCAGCTGGAAAGGAGGGGCCGGGCCCGCGCCCTGGGCCAGCCGCCGCCGCCTCTGTGGGCCAAGCTGGGCTGGAAACACTCTGATGGGCCCCGGCTGTCAGCTCCCTGTCCCCGGCCTGGGGAATGAGCTGCCGGCGGCACCACATGATTCATCACCAGGCCCAAGCCCGCAGGCCAGCCGGCCCCCACCCTGCTCAGCACCTGTGGGCTGCCAGGAAGCACATGTGACCCTGTGGGGGCAAGCACCCCCAGACCCCTCCAGGTCAGGCGCCGAGCTTGGAGGCGCGGGCTGAGGACACAGACACCCCCCATGCTCTCCTGGGGGGCCACTCTGCCCCAAGGACAAGCCTCTGGGATGGGGCCAGCAGGGGTCCCCCACCCCCCAGACTGCACCGGACATAAGCAGCAAGCAACAACTGGCTGATGTGTCGGCTGGGATTTTTCCGCTCTCGATGAGCCCCTCCCCTCCCCCTCCCCAAAGTGGCTGCAGCTGTCAGGACCGCAGATTGGAACTGCAGGTACGGCGCTGGCCTGCTGCCCACCTCCCTCCCGTGTCTGTCTGCGAGGGAGGAAGCCGGCCCACCTCTGGAATCCTTCACTCTCTCCTCGTTCTGCCTCTCCCACCTGTCCCCTGGGAGCGTGGGGTCAGCCGCCCTCGCTCAGGCTCTCTCTTTTCCCTTGCCCCTCTCCGATTACAATGCCGGCAGTGTTCGCTCAGCCCCCTGCACGAAGCTCCCGCCTGTCTCCGAGCACCACTCAGCCTTCCTGAGCCTCAGCCTCTCCTCGATCCTCCACCGTGTTTAATCTCTGTCACAGGACCGGGCAGGGGCAGGCTGGGCCGTGTGCCCCAGGCTCACCTGCTGCATCTGAACCCAAAGAAGGTTCCAGCAGGATGAGTCCTGGTTCACAGACCAAAGGGGAGAAAGCCAGGTCCTACTTGGCCTCTTCCTGCCTCACAGGCCAAAGCCAGGTGAGGAGACTCCAGCAGGAGACCGGGCCAAAAGCAGAGGCCATGGACCAGCTGGATGGGCCAGGGGGACCAAGTGGGGAGCTCGGAGCCACCTTCCCAAACCTCCTCCATCAGACCGCCATTTCCACTTGCTGACTCAGGTGGCAGGACACCTCTGCGGCAGCCGGCCCAGACACCACCACCTCCCTCTGTCCATCCCTCTCGGAAGTGCCGCCAGCCAGGCCCAGCGGAGCCTCCCATGTGTGCTGGCCCAGGACCCCTCTGAGACCACTGCTTGGCCCCCCACCAATCCCTCCATGGCTTGGAGGTAGCAAGTCCACCCTCCATGGGGTCCATGGGAAGGGGAGGGTGCACCGAGGCTGCCCTAGCTCCCAGGCCCTCAGATCCCTGGCCCCCACCCACCCTGGGGGTCCCCTGACTCTGCAGTCCTGGGTGCGGGCACAGGCTCATGGCCCCCCTGCGGAGTGGAAGAGACCTGTTCTGAGACCCACACTTAAAACACAGAGCTGCTGCTGCTTGAGTTGGGCCTGGCCCCAGCTCTGCACACCTGCCCCCATCCCCATCCGCAGCGCTCCACACCTGCCCGCATCCCCATCCCGTGCTCCAGAATCTCACTCTGGAGGACTCACCTCAGCCCCTGCCTGTGGCCCCGTCCCCAGCCCACTCTGCAGTCCCCTCACCCACCTTCCTACAGAACTTGCCCCACTACCAGCCACACCTCCAGCCCCAGGGCAAACCCTCCTCCCTCAGGAGGCCCCTGTCCCCGCACTCTCCCACCGCCCTGCGTGGCTGGGTTCCTACTGCCAAGGAAACGCTCCCAGTGGGCACACGAAGCAAGCTAGGGCCTCACCACCCACGTGCCCCAGCGCCAAGGACCCTGCTCTGTCCCAGAGCGCGCACGACGCCCCTTACACGGGACAGCTGCTTCCACCACTGCACCCCCCCCCGCCCCCACCCTGCCCTCCCCAGCGGGAGCCCTCTCTCCCGACTAGGGAGGAGCCCCAGGCCAGCACAGGGCAGGGGTGCAGCACTGGCAGGAGGAGGGCGTGCCTCCTGCCCCAAGCGCCGCAGGCCTGGCTGGGAGGTGGAGCCCCACGCGGCACCGAGGGGCACTCTGCGGTCACAGGCGTCACGCCCACGGCGCCCCGCGGCCACCTGCACGGCCGTGGGTCAGGCCAGTGGGAAGGGACAGACTCGCAGGCTGGCTGTGGGGGTGCAGGGCCGACACGAGCAGGCTGAGCGCCGGGCGCTCTCCACAAACAGCTCGAAACCCGAGCCGACAGGCTCCCGCTGACGCAAGCGCTCTGAGTGCGCGGGCGGCCAGGATGGGCGGGGCGGCGGCCCCGGGAGGAGCGGGAGGCCGCCAGCGCTGGAGGCAGCTGCCGGTTCAGTAGCTGGGAGAAGCCATTAACGGCCGTTTGGCGAGAGAGCAGAGGGGATCGCGGGCTGTGGATACAGACAGGCCTGGGCCCGTCCCTGCGGGATCCCAAGCTACCGCGAGGCCAGGGCGCCGTGGCGCCGGCCAGGGCCGCAGCCCCGCCCCCTGCCCCCAGCGGAGGTCCCGCAGGGGACAGGAGGGTGTCGGGCCCAGGCGTTCAGGGACTCGCATGACGGGGGAGGATGCCTCCCAGCCTCTGTGGCCAGAGTTCATAGCCACCCCTCACCTCTCACCTACTGCCGGCCTCAGTTTCTCCCAGCTGCTTGAAACAAAGAGGGGCGGGAGGCTGTGAAGGCTGCCAGCCCCCTCCCCCCACGCCGCCCCACCTCCCCGGGGTCCGGAGGCTGGATGAGATCACGTCTGTGAGGTGCCGGTGCCGTGGGAGAGGAGTGGGGTGGACACAGCCTGCGGCTGCTCAGGACTCCCCCCGCCCCAGGACCCCCGCCAGACCCAGCAGCACATCCAGGGGACCTGGGCCCCAGTGCAGCTTGGGATGTGAATTTGGGGACTGAGAAGGGCAAATGTATGGGAACAGGGCTCAGAATATCCACGAAGGTAGAATGTCACTCATCAGTCAACGTCTGGGATGGGGGGTTCCCCAAAGCCAGGCCCAGCAGAGGCCAGCAGTCAGAGGGTCCAGAAGCCCCAGCATCCCCCAGCTCAGGCCTCAGATCCAGACCCAGGGAGTGGGCAGGGCAGGGTCCACGGGAAGGGAGGCTAGGTGGCACTTCTACCCCACCCTCAGGCCTCCACGCCGCAGCGTCCATGAAGGTTGTCTCTCCCAGGAGCACCAACCCTGTCAGGACACCTCTGCTGCTGGCCAGGGCCTTACGTGGGGTCCAGACACCACTGGCCACTCCCAAGGACACTGCTGGGAGAACGGACTCTGCCCTGACACCGCAGGTGTCCCCAGACTGTGGGCCCTCCAAAAAAACCACGGCAAGCCACGGGGCACACCGGCCTCCGAGCCCCACGCTCCACACCAGGTACCCAGCGGGGCCACTTGCCGCCCGGGCCCTGGGGCCTCTTCCCCAAAGCCCAGCGCACTTTGCTTGGATTGCAAAGACACCCACGACGTCAGGGTGGAAGAGACCGGTGCCCACGTGCCCCCGATCACCCCAGGCACACGTGCTGCTCAGGGCAGGGAAGCATCTGTCGGCCTGGCGAGCTCCTGAAAGATGAGCCCCCTCGGGCCGCGGGCCGGCTGTGCTGGCAGAAGCTCGGGAAGGCGGGCACCAGGGCCCCCTCCTGTCACTCGGACATATGGGATAGTCATTGCCAGAGGAAGCGGCCCCCGCAGCCCCCACTGCGGCTGCAGGCCAGGCCCGGCGGCCGGGAGGAGCGCCTCCCCGTGGGCAGGCCCAGGCCCCTCCCCCGCCTCTGCACTCCATTTACAACCATCATCGATTTCTCAAAATACCAAATATAAAAAAGTAGCCGACAGGATGTGGCTGCCGACAGCCAGAGCCCCTGGGAGGGGGGAGACAGGCAGGGAGCCGCACTGCGCTGGCCCCCCCTCACCGTGTGCGCCCGCTGCTCCGGCCAGGAAACCAATTTATTTTGTTTTGTCTCTGTTCTCTGAACGCACAGAGACCAGATCGGGCGGGCAGCCAAGGCTCCTGCAGCCGCTGCCAAGAGAGCGTGAGCATGGGGGCGGAGGCCAAACAGGGGAGGGGGCGCGTGCCTCCCCAGGCCCCGGGACAGCCCCCGACAGGCGGCAGGAAGAACTCTGGAGGACGGCCGTCCCTGCGAGGCCCGCACCAACGCGGCCGTTCTCCCCCAGCCCCGAGGCCCGCGGCCCAAGGAGGCACCTGGGCGCACAGCACGGCGCGTGGGCCACAGCCCTGCCAGTGACTGGGACACACCTGGGAGGGGACAGGCAGGAGGAGACAGCCACCTCGGGGCTCAGAGCTCCTCAGCTTCCAGCCCTCCCAAAGCAGGCAGGCCCAGGTAGCAGAGACACGGCCTCTGGCCCACACACCGGGGCGTCTGGATGCCAGATGGGGCACTCCTGGCCCACCACCATGCTTGTCCCTTCAGACCCTAAACTTGAGGGGACACCTGGGATTCACTGGGGCCCACATCAGTCCACACCTCGAGGACACCAGGGAGGGAAGGGACAGATCGCCCAGAGGCCACCCACCTCCCGCACGAGGCTGCCAGGCGACGCTGCTCGGGCCTGTCACCCCGGGGGCCCAGCACAGGCCAGCGGGCGTACGGAAGCCAGCCCTGCCCCAGCCTCTCCGTGCCCACCAAGAGCACGAGTGCAGCCTCCACAGAGCACGAGGGACCCCAGTATCAGCCGGCCGTCCCACAGACACGCGCGGGGGTTCACCATGTCACGTCCACCCCACTTCCTTCCCGAGCAATGACACACAGTCCAGCAGACATGTATCCCCAACCCCGAAATTGCCCTTCCGGACCACGAGCGCGGCCCCTCACGGCGGCCTGACTCCTCTGCACCCAGGGCAGCACAGCCCCCAGCTGGGGAAGGCGCCCCCCACCCCTCGTGGGAGAGCAAGCCCAGCCCCACCTCCTCGTCAGAGCTGTCCTCCGCATACTCTTCACAGCCCTGCACTCTCGCCACCTCTGTCCTTGGGGAAGGGCTCCCAGCCTGTAAGAGAGAAGGGGACAACGGTTATGTCAGGACACTGACGCCCTCTGACCTCGGGCAGAGCCCACGCCCGCAGTCCCGTGCCCCCTCCTTGATGGTGGCGGCTCGGGAAGAACAAACTGTCCGTCCTGCTGGTGCTGAGGCCAAGCTTCCCGCCGCCCCCAATCTCTAAGCAGCTCCAACCTGGCCCTGGGCCTTAAGACAAGACCAGTGACACCCCAGGTCTCCGTGGGCCTCTTGGGCCCCACCCGAGGTCCTCTGTCAAGGGCCAGATTCATCGCCGTGTGCCAGCTCCGAGGAAGGACCCCAGGGAAGGGCTGACACCTGTACCAGACGGGAACGGGAACACTCAGCAAGGAAGCCACCAGCTGAGGGCCCAGCCGCCCCCGCACCCTCTAACGAAAAAACCGGCTGCAGGGCTCCTGGCCCAACGGCCCATACCCAGCCCTGCCAGGCCTAGGAGAGCCCAGGGTCGGGGAGCAAAGTGGGGGTGGCCACTTGGTGGCAGCAAGGAAGGGCGGGGCAGGGCCCACACCTGGGCCGGGCCGTCTGGAGGAGGGCGTGTGCACCTGCCGTCAGCCACGGCGGCAGGACCCTTCCCCCAGGAGGCCCTGGCGTCAGCCCAGTCAGCCAAGGGCCCAGAGAGGCACCCCTAACCTACAGAATGCCGGGAGGATACAGCCCCCCAGGCCAACCCCAACCCACCAGGTCAGAGAGTGGGCGCCCCCGAACATTCACACCCTAACCTGGAAAAGAGATTCTTCCCTCGGGGGGGGGGAATCGGGTGTACCGGAACCGGGACTGATGGGGAAAACAGCCCCACCTCTCACTCCCGGGCGCAGTAAAGTACTCGGGAGCAGGGGCCCCTGAGCGAGGCGCCCCCGCCAGAGCCCCACTCCCCTGACCAGACAGGAGCCAGAGGCCTGTGAGGTGGCTCTTCCTCTCGCCTGTTTTTTCCCTCAGTATAAGGAGGGTGGGAGACTAAGTTTTTTTCCAGGCCAGGAACACGGCGGGATTCGGTTTCCATGTCTCCCCCACCCCCGCTCCTCATGCTGCACGCACTGTGGGAGCCCTGCCCGCTGAAAGTGGGTCAGCACAGCCCGATGGGTGCAGGGCGCGGTGGGGGGCGAGGAGGGCGAGCCCCGACCAGGGCTCCGACCAGGGCTCCAAGCTCTCCTCCATCCTTGCCCACAGCAGCGACCAGTGGACACACCTGCCCCAGGCCCAGGGCCAGGCAACAAGTCTCCTCAGCAAGCGCCCCTGACGCCGGGCCAGGGCCGGCGGATCCACGATGCCGGCCTCCGGCCAGACTCCGCAGCTGCCCACGGCACCAGCCCACCCGACGCTCTCCACCAGCACTGAGCTCCGGAGAGTCCCACGCCGCCTGTGCCTTGGGCCACGGTCACGGGGTCCCAACAGGAAGTGTCACGGCCCCTCGTCCTCCAGGACACCCCACATCGCCCCGTGCTGGGTGTGGCCGGCCCCCAGGGACAGCATGCAGGCGCAAGGAGCCAGAGACAGGCAGGCCCCCCGACAAGGGGGGCCCCCCAGCGGAGGGGCTGCAAGTCCCCACACAAAAGAGCTGGCCCCCAGGCCCTCCTTGGTCTCCCTCCAGAAGTGCCGCTGCAGGGGACACGGTGGCCGCCAGGGGGCAGCAGAGCGCGGGCACGCGCGGCTGCAGGAACCAGGGGAGGCTCAGGGAGCCGCGCACACCTGTGGACACGACACCTGTGGACACGACACCTGTGGACACACTTGGCCGTGGTTGGGCACTGGGCATTTAAACAGGACGTGAAACACACAAGGGGAACACATCTTGTTTCTCTGCCCACCCCAAGACCATAATTAACACCATGAGGACCCAAGCAGGGGCCCCCAGGGGGCTCTGCCTCGATGGCATCACAACTGCTAGAGACCCCCTGGCGGCCAGCATCAGACCCAGCCCAGCCACACCCCACCGCCACCTGGCACGGGACAGCTCGGCTCCTCCAGCTTCTCACACAAGCGGGACCCCGACAGCCCCCGCGGTGACGCAGACGAGGGCGGCCAGGCTGGAACTCGGCTCCCTGCATGGCCTTCCTGTGGGGTGAGAGACGCAGAGGACGGCAGGGCAACAGCGGCCCCCACGCCCTGAAGGTCCGCGGGAGGTGCGCCAGGCTTGTGTGCGTCCCCGACACCTGGGAGCAAAGGTCAGATCCAGGCTGCGGCGGGTAACGTGCGTTCTCGGGGATCTGGGGTGTAGCACAAACACACGAATGAGCACGACTGAGGGTCCACAGGGCTACCGGCCTGCCGCAGACCCCGCAGGGCGGCCAGCAGTGCTGCTAAGCCTCCTCGGGGAGCCAGGACCCCGAACGGCAGGTATCAGCGAGCCCTGCGCACGCGGCTCATCTGACAAGAGACGCAGACGGATACTGAGCAGACACGCACAGTCTCTAAAGGGTATACGCTGCTGGGCCTGAAAAGACCAGGGGCAACACAAAGTGAAACTCCCCCTCGTTCCTGAGGGAAAAGGCACATGACTCGCTGGAGGGCCCGGAGCCCGAGCCGGCCCTGCACAAGGAAACGGCTGCTGACACCAGAGACTACTCTGTGCTCCCCGCCTCCCCATTTACAACAGATGAGTTTAACGGGACTCGACACCACCACTGCAAATGGCTGTGTGGGGACGAGGCCCATGACTCGCACCAGCTCCAGGCCTGATTCACACGAGCCGCTCGCGCTGGGCGTGGCAATAGGATAAGGGGGGGGGGCGTTTTGTACACAGTGGCTGTTTCATTATTTTCTTTTAAATTTCTTTATTTGGGGGCACCTGGGGGGCTCAGTCAGTGAAGCATCTGCCTTCAGCTCAGGTCATGATCCCAGGGTCCTGGGATCGAGCCCCGCATTGGGCTCATGCTCAGCGGGGAGTCTGCTTCTCCCTCTTCCCCCACAGCTCGTAGTCTCTCTCTTGCTCTCTGTCAAATAAATAAAACGCTTAAATATTTCTTTATTTGAGAGAGAGAGAAAGAGCGCGCGCACGTGTGATATGAGGGAGGGGCAGAGGAAGGGAGGGGGGAATAGAGAGAGAGAGAGCGCGCACATGCATGTGGGGCAGAGGAAGAGGGAGAAGCAGACTGAACAGGGAGCCCGATGCGGGGCTGGATCCCAGGACCCTGAGATCATCACCTGAGCAGAAGGCAGATGCTTCATTGGCTGAGCCACCCAGCACCCTGGGAAAGAGAGTCTTAAGCAGAGTCTGAACTGAGTGTGGAGCCCAATGTGGGACTCCATCTCACGACCCTGAGATCATGACCTGAGCCAAGACAGAGTTGGGACACTTGAGCAACTGAACCACCTGGATGCCCCAGACTGTTGCTGTTTCAAACCATGGCTACAAATCTTTGACTCTCCTCCCATCGAGGGCAGAGGCCATATGCCCGCCCCCGGTCCGGGTGGGTTCCTGGCAGGCTCACCTGTCCAGGGAAAGCAGCCCAGACCGACGACGTGGGAACTCAGAGTCTGCAGCTGTGCTCTGGAGCCCTGAGCCCTGTGGACGAGGACAAGCCCAGCAAGTGCCAACCATGTCACAGCCTGGACAGATGAGTAAAGAGACCCCAGCTGTTCTTCCTTAGGACCCTCACCTGAGCCCCAAAACACGAGGTGTGATGAGTGATGACTGTCCTAGAGCAGAACCCTGCAGGGGCACAGGAAACGGTGACGTGTTCCGAGTGCGCAGCCTAATTCTCAGGCGGGACCCAGCTGAAGGCAGCAGTGGGTCACCCCAGACATGACACCACCTCACCCTGCCTGAACACTGATCCCCAGAAATGAGAGTGCTGTAAAATGGCTGTCTGATGCTCAAGGCATTGGGATGGATTGTGGAACGGCTGCCTACCTCCCCCCATGGGAACCAATCCCACCCCAGCCGCTGGCTCACGTCCTTAGCTCTCCCGGTGGGCCCCAGGCACTTCCCAGCTGAGGTGAGCTCTGTTAACCAGCTGGTGAGACTACCTGGGGGTGCCCGCCTTGCAGTACCCCACAAGCCACAGCGCCCACATCACACCCCACCAGTGCCCACGCCTGGACCCCAGTGTGGGCAGCACCATCGTGGCCCGGGCCCATCGGAGGATGCAGGGAAGTGAGGACCCTCCTGCCCACTGAGAGGCCCTGGTGAGCGGGAAGCACAGGAGGGTGTGCTGGGATGGGGGAGCCTAAGGTCGATTCGCCCCCCCACCGCTGCCTGAGGGTGAAGGCAGGAGGGGCGCCGGCAGCGCAGCGTGGGGCGGGCACGGCTCCTCTCCAGCCTCCTTCGGGGAGGTGTGTGCAGAGGGCTCTGTGGCTGGGGCACAGTGTGAGGGGCAGGGGCCGCAAAGTGTGCCCCAGGAGACCAGCCTGGTAGACAGGGACTCAGGTCAACAAGGTCGTGGAGCACCAGGACAAGTGAGCGGGCAGCCAGTCCTGAGAGGACCCGGAGACAGGGGTGGGTGCTCTAAGTGGAGGCAAATGGAGTAAGCGGACACGAGAAGTCTCTCCAGCGAGAAGCACAGCAGAATCCCGCGCCCAAAACTACATGCATCAAAACAAGCTAATCTGCCGGGTGCGAGCAGCCTGCGGCCACGGACCTCCCTGTGAATGCCCTGAGCCCCGAGACAAGACCTCCGTGGAGGAAGATGGGGACCCCACGGCCCCACCCTCCCGAGCACCTACCAGCCCCCCAAATACAGTGCTCTTCCTCCCTTGAGCTCCTCCAGCCCCTGCCAGCACCCTGAAAGTACATCAGCCCGCCTGCGTCCCTGACTCCCAGAACCAGTGAGAACACGAGTTACTGTCCCGCCGCTAAGCATGGGGCTACTCGGTTACATGACAACAGATAAGGGAGACAAGGAGAGACAAAATGGCACCTGGCGCCACAGACGGGAGACCTCAGCCCAGCGGAACGGAAAGGACCCTGGTGGTCCTGACCCCCTACGTGCGGGCCGGGCAAATGCACAGCTGCTCCCACCAAGGGACGCCGACCA